CTTCAGAACTGATGGTTCGTGGCCTTATTTATGCATGTATTTATTTTAATCCTGCTTAAACTCCTTATGCTACAAGTCTTTGTTCACTTCCTTGCCTGTTTGATCCCAATCCAAATGTTTATGCTCGTACTTAACTTTAAGTTGTCATCTCCTTAAGCAAGCCTCTGTCATCCTTAACGTCTGCAGAACTCCAGAGTGACTCTTCATGAATAATCTGCTGTGTTTCTCCCCATCACAGCTAGACCTGGGTTAGAAAGATACAAGGATGCTCTTCGCTCTTGCCTGTCAAGTTTTATGCCCCGCGTGGGGGTCATACCAGCGCACCTCTGCAGTGAGGATCTGAAGTAGCAGGAACAGAAGTGGATTATATTAATCTTATTGTTACGGTTTCTCAGCAAGAAGGTAACGAAGCGCTGTGGTTCAGCCAGGCTGTAGAATGGAGTTGGTGCATTTTAAAGCTATGGGTGATTGCCTTGTAACTCAGAAATTGCCATTTTCTGTAATTGAAGTGAGAATCTACTGAAATTAGGTTTTAGCTTTGTTCTGCCTTTATACTCACCCCTTCTCTCCTTTTCGTTGTCATTTTTGTGAATGCGAGGCAACAAAATTGCCCATGAGTTAGTACCCCCTCCTTTGCAAATGAGGAAGCAAAGGCATGTGAAATGACTTCACTTAAGTAATTGTAGTTTGTGTGTGGTGGATCTAAGCTTTAAGTGCTATGAAATAAACACTTGAAATCTGAAGAGGAGGGAATCTTCACTGAATTAATCCAAGCTTCTGTTGCTTGGCACCGCTGTTTTTGCTAATGTGTTATATCTATTTTCTTTCTGGATTTTAATTCTTCATCCCAAGTCCTTAAATCTCCCAAGATATTTGGGTTTCAAGCTCATTATTTCATGAGGTGCCTAAATACTTTCCACTTTGGGCTTCTACTGTTGCCAAACTGTTTTCATGATGTGATGTGAATTGTTTTCTCTGTATAATTGACCATAATCCCCTATTTTTGTTCTTCACTAAGTAACTGTGGTGGAAAGGTGCTCTGAGAGTACAATGGCTCAGAGATGCAGTCCTGATCCTGCAGGAATCAAGGGGATCAGGATTTCACTCTATAAGTTTAGTGTACTAACTCAATTATTAAATCAGCATTGTGCATCTCAAGTGAAGAAAGCAAGCAGAAAATAACCCGTTGGTATGTAGAGTGCTTTACGTGCTCCAAATTATTTTCCATACATTTAACTAATTACACTAACAGATGATATTTACAGGGGACTTCTGGCTGTAATTGACCTTCATCTTTTCCTGTGCACTTCCCCGCCTCTCCTTGAATTTTCTTATTGTTTCCTCTTAACCCTTCCACATTTAACACCATGTTTAAAGCAGTCCTTTTGCTTGGGACCATCCTGCCAGTTCCCTAGAGGCCAGTATTCCCAACTCCTTTTAACTTCATCTTCTCACCCTGATTTAATTGGTAATTTTGGAACTCATAGTGTGGACAAACAGATCTCTTCCAAAGCCCAATCTTAGAATCATAGAATCACAGAATGTGCTGTGTTGGAAGGGACCTTTGAAGCTGATCCAGTCCAACCCTGCAGTCAGCAGGGACATTGGTACCAGATCAGGTTGCTCACAGCCCCATCAAGCCTGGCCTTGAACATCTCCAGGGATGGGGCCTGCACCACCTCTCTGGGCAACCTGTGCCACTCATCTACCACCCTCACGGTGAAGAACTTTTTCCTCATATCCAACCTAAATCTCCCCTTTTCCAGTTGAAAACCATTCCCCCTCGTCCTATCGCTCCATGCCCCAGTGAACAGCTCTTCCCCACATTTCTTATAGGCACCTTTCAGGTCCTGGAAGGTCACTATAAGGTCCCCCCAGAGCCTTCTCTTCTCCAAGCTGAACAACCCCAACTCTCTCAGCTGTCTCCATAGCAGAGCTGCTCCAGCCCTTGGATCATCTTTGTGTCCTCCTCTGGACCTGCTCCAGCACTTCCATGTCCTTTTTGTGTTGGGGACTCCAGAGCTGGACACAGCCCTGCAGGGGGGGTCTGACCAGAGCAGAGCAGAGGGGCAGAATCCCCTCCCTGGCCCCATGGCCACACTGCTTGTGATGCAGCCCAGGATGGGGTTGGGTTTGGGCTGCAGATGCACATTGGTGGCTCATGTCCAGTTTCTCATCCACCAGAACCCCCAGGTCCTTTTCCTCAGGGCTGCTTTCCAGCACATCATCTCCCAGCCTCTCCCTCTTCAGGGCTCCCACCAGTCACAGCACAATTGCTCTTTTCCTTTTACATGATCATCGGTTCTGTGGACCAGGAGTGCTTTTCTTCTGTCTTTTATCTTAGGTAATAAATTGGTTTTCAGAAGTTGCAGCAACATAATACACACTTTAAGTATGTATATCTTATTTTTCCTTGAAACTTCTATATGTGTGTGTTGGGGTTAGCAGGGGAGGAATTGCATTAAGTGTCAAGAGGATAGAGAACACCCATGTTTAGAGTTCAATGGTGTTCCCATGGCTACTAGGACAGGTACATCACGGGAGGGAGAACACTTCTGGCATTTAACAGCCTTTCCAGGTGATTTATGGTTTCACATAAGCTTTTCCTAAACCGAGAGGTTTTCTAGGGTTGGCACCTCTTTGCTTGTCTCCATGCCCTGTTGGTTCTGTGTTCAGTGGCCCGTGGTTATTAAAATTCTTATCAATAAAGGAGTTTCTGAGCAAGGTTCTCATTTTCTGGGATCGCGCATACCTTCTGAACTCCTCAGCTTAACCAAAGGAACATTTGTTTTATGCCTAATGTATTTTATAAAAGAAATGTGTAGAGTTCAAGTAATATTTGCCTTCAATTACAGTAATTAAGTTGTCAGGACTTGAAGTCACCAAGGGAATGAGAAAATCCTTTCCTGGTTGGCCAGGGGGTAATTGGTGTTCTGGTTGCGAGGACATTTTACATATTGGGATGGAGAGGGAAACCGTTCTGGCATCAGAAAACCTGGGAGGTTGTTTGTCATTTTGCAATAGGAGGTGTCAAAATCCTGCTGTGGGTAGAAGGAAAAGGAAAAAAGTGACCTGTTTTACCTCTGCTTTAGCAGGGCAGCTATTTTTGATCCGCTCTAAGGCTGCTTGCTTGGGTCGGGAGGTGTCTCTTATTAAAAAGAGAGTGAGTACAAACGTAGCTCAATCCATTTATTGTGTCTTGTCAAACCTCTCCTCTCAAATGTAACCTACATGTATAGATGTGTGTAGGTACACACTTTATTTTCCCCCTAGGTTCAACGTCTCTTTGCCAGAAGTCAAATAGTTTCAGTTACTTCATAAACTGACCTGAAGCTACACTGCACGGTGTTCCTACAGGAAAAGTACCTGATTTTTATAAGTGCCCACACAAACATTACTGGAATCTCAAGTGTAGCATTACTTTGGTTCCAGTGGAATAGCTCTCTTGAAAGCAGATGTATGAGGAAGTCGCTACTCGTAATGCATCACTAATGGCACAAATCTTTGCGTTCCTACTCATGTGAGTAAAGGTTACAGATGCACATGGAGTCAGACCTGCAAAACCTTACTTGCAAACCCTAATAAACTCCACTTGAGCTAGCAAATTTAATGATGCCCTAAAGATAGCCAGATCACTTATCTACACCATCGTGCAATAACTATCAAGTGTTGAGATAAGTGGGTTTATATTTCCCAGTTTGCTGCTGGCCTTCACCCTGGGTATCAGTTTATGCCGGTGAGAGTGGGTATGAAACGTTGCTGCTCTGATTTGGCTGTGTTTTGTAGCCACATCAGTTCAGATGCATGGGTAGAGTGGATGCTCTTATGTATCTGTGCATTTGTGAATGGAAAAACAGGGAATATCTCTTGTCTTTACCACATTTGACTGTAATAGCTTCCCATTTAAGAAGCATGTTGAAGGCCAGATGTTGGTAAGGATTGTACACAGCTTTTACCTGCTAAGCTTTTCTCATCAAGGGAGATGTGTTTGGTTACCTGCAGTTCATATTCTGTGATTCTGTGAGAATTTGGGACATTCTCAAGAGTCATTTGTGACTTTTGCCCAGCAAAAGGATATGCCACAAAGGGTTATTTTTGAGTGCTTCAGCGTCCGTGCAAACGAGTCTGAATTTCCAGTGCCTTTTTGGGTTGTTTATTTTATAAGTCAGAGATAATTTAACAAGTTATGCATTTTCCTCTTGTTGCATTTGTTGCTTTTTCAGAGTCGTTTTTCTTCACGCCATACATAACATCCAGCTCCAGAGCAATACTTTGCTTTTTGGTTTATATTTGCTTTCTAGATACTAGGCTCTTTTTATTGATACTCACCTGCAGCCGGAGTTCAGCAGCTATTTATTTTGTGTATGCAGAAGCCTTGTAAGATCTAACCTGTGATGTTGTTTTTGCCACCTGATAACGTATGATCAAATGGAGCCTGTTTAAATAACAACATCTGGGACACAATGACAGTAAACCAGCTACGAAACAAACATTTCTGAAGATCAGATAAGATGGAAGAGATGCATCGATGCTGGATTGCTTTGTATATCATAAATTCTTGCACTTTGCTGTACAGATATTCCAGGCATGGGATTTCCTTTATGCCACGGGTTAATAGATCGTACTGCGTTATTTTCCATGTTATTTTATATCTTGTAGAGACATGTGCCTTTGCAAACCGAGTGTAATACACTGAGTAGGATAGTATTATACATAATCTGCATGAGTTGTGCAGGAGAAGGCAAACAGTAAGAAATTCAAAGCGACTGAGAATTGTCTTACTCTGATTTTCTTGCTGCCTTCCGTATTTCTACCTCTTCTCCTTATAAACCTACACTGTCTTTTACATTAAGGGCTGCCTCTCACTTCTGCCCAGACCTATACTTTTACAGTTAATTTTTGAAGCACCATATTGTTTTCTTTAATATTTTTATTAGTGTTCAAAAGTATATGTTTAAAGCCATTATTTCTGACTCTCGCTCCTCTTTCTTCACCTGCAGGAGGATGTTACCGATCCCAAATCTCCAGAAGAGGAGAAGAGGAACCACTGCCTGTCTGAGCCTGCAGATGGTTACAACACAGTGAAGAGCGTTCTCACCGTCCAGGAATATTTTGCCAAGCGCATGGCAAAACTGAAGGGATCCCCAAATGAAGCAGAAACAAAGGTGGATGACTCCTGCCCAGCAGCTGATGAAGGTTTGGAGCCTTCAGAAGAACTAGAAACCAAAGCCAAAAAGAAAAAGAAGAAGCAGAGGAGAGATGAGGCAGAGAGTACAGAACGTTGTGAGAAACCCAAAGTGAAGCAATCTAAGATAGGGAGCTTGAATGGAAAGGAACTGGACGCTTCATTAAATGAGTGTCACTCGGGGAAAAAGAAAAGGAAACATAAAGAGGGGAAACACGATGAGGAAAACATCAGTTGTGATGAAAATACGGGCAATGGAGAAGTTTATACAGGAACATCTGATGGGGAAGATCTCAGCGTGAAGGACTGTGAGGCAAAGCAAAAGAAACGCCGTAAGAAGAAACACAAAAGGCAAAAAGAGGAGACAGACGAGTGTATCGAAGGAGCGCAGAGAAAGAAAAAGAAGCACTGCAAGAGCATTTAACCATGAGAGTGCAGCTGGGGCTTCGAGGCGATTTGAACTCCAGCGTGTTAGAGGAGAGGTCTGTGTGAACACCCCAGGCAGAAGTCACGCCATAAACCAGTCCTGAGCTGCTCCACCTCCAGCCGATACCACAGACGCTTAATACAGCTTTTTCAAGGGAGAACATGAGGACAGGCCATCGTGGGCTGCAGTGCCATCTCAAAAAGATCTCCAAGGTCAAGGCTTGCACATCAGCACCATTGAACTCCATTGAAGTCAAAATCAGGCCTGGTTTTAACTGTTGTGGTTAACACTGCGAAAGCCAGTGAATTACCGTCTGCTGCTTCACACGGACTGGGTTTTTCTCCATACAAGGAGAGAGGGGGGGGAAAAAAGGTCGCCTTACCACTGCCTTTATTATTAAAGCCGCTGTTGTCTTCACTTCTGATCGCCCAACTCTGGTTCTGGAAACAGGAGAGGTTTTGCAAAGCTGTCTGTATTTTTTCACTGATTTTTTTGCGAAGTCTTGTCTAACTTTTTCACTATCTCCTTTCATATATAAAGCGAATGTTGTTTCTTCCCAAAATACTTTGTCTAATTAAAGGTTTACACCTGAGTGTCAGTACTAAAGTATGAAATTTTAAAACTTCCCTTTGTTTCTTGGCAAATAGGTGACTGTTGTCGATTAATTGTAACTTTACAACAAAGGTAAAGGAGTTGTGCCTTTGTTAACCTTATCTACATCTTTGGTGCCTAGGCCACGTTCATGGTGCTACATCTGGAATTCAAAAAGTTGCCTTGGACGAAGCAAGGTTTTCTGTGAAATGAGGAGACCAAACCAGTTTTAAAAGCCTAGCTGGTCAGATTCATTAGTATTGCCATTTATACATTGAAAAACTGCAGTTTAGATTTATATATAACCAAATTGGAGCTTGTGGCATAGTCCAGGATTCAGATCCATTCGTTGTTCGTTTGATTTCGGGCCTGGCGTAAATCTAAACCATCCCATTGGCCTGCTCTGCTGCAGAAAATGGGTACATTTTTTTATTGTCTTAGTTGAGTTGCTTAACGCGGTTTGAAAAACATTGTCAAGACACAGATGTTAATAGGAAAAAATTTCCTTAAGCTGCCTTTCGTTTGACTTCGGGCCTGGCTGCGTCTCATCAGCGTAAATCTAAACCATCCCATTGGCCTGCTCTGCTGCAGAAAACGGGCACATTTTTTTATTGTCTTAGTTGAGTTGCTTAACGCGGTTTGAAAAACATTGTCAAGACACAGATGTTAATAGGAAAAAATTTCCTTAAGCTGCCTTTATTGTCCAGTGGGAGAAACGCAGTGTGAAGCAGGCAGCCCACACGACTTCAGATGGTTTAGTTGCAGCTGAACTCCTCAAGATATCTGGGCTTGCAATGCACCTTTCTTGCCCTCAGGACAGCAAAATTACTGTAGTTTTACTGTACTGAAGGGAGAACAAGATGCCTTGCTCTGGGTTTCACTGCTGGCATGCCAGGAGTTTTTAATTTGAACCCTTGGAGCATTTGCTTTTCAGTGCTACACAAATACTCACCATGATGGTGCTGCTATGGCTGGGCTTGTTCCCTGGCTTCCCAACATGAAATTCCACTTAATACCGTGAGGTTTTTGTGGAGCTGTGAGTGAGCTCCGTGCTTCCATGCAAAAAATAATCTTGTCTGTGGATGAAGACTGCAAAATAATGTTTCATGTCACATTGAAGCATCCAAAGTTTTGTGGGTACCCTTCAAAGCAACCTAATTTCACCACGACTTTGGATTTTGGCTTGGTAGCATAAGCCAAAAACCTGACTGTTTCCATTTATTTTAACTCCTAAGTAGCTAAACCTCACAGTTTTTCTGGGATTTCAGGTAAAAAGGTGCTCAAGGAAGAGGGTTTCCTCCTCCAAATACGGCTGGGCTTGTTTGTTTGCTCTCTGAATTAATCTTCCATGAGTTTCTATGTGCTGATTCCTAGGAGCCCTTGGCCAGATTCCAGTGTTAGCTGCAGAAAGAATAAAACCAGGAATAAATCTTCTAAATTTATGGTGTTGCTACAATTAAGCACAGTATACCTAAGGTTTAAATCTGGCTTAGGTTGAAGTCTCAGCTACAAATAGAAGAGTGTCGGTTTGTACAAGAAGAAGTGAGAATTTCACTTTATCCCAGGATTTTTATGTGCCCGAAGCTCAAAGAGCATGTGCGAAATGCGGTTTGTAGGGAGAAATAATCATAATTAACATTTAAAACAAGCATTTAGCTTAGCTGCTCTGCTCTGTGTGTGTCAGTAGTCAGCCAACTTTGGGTTACTCGACAAAAACTTCTCCTTTCCAGATACTGTCCAGTGAAACGGATGATTGAAACAACAGGAACGTGTTTCGAAGTAATAAATTATATTATTTGTTTGTTTTCAGTGGGTTGTCAGTCCAGTTTTAACCAAACTCTGGTTTGGCAAGAAGGTCCTTTTTTTCGAAAGCATAAGAAAAAGAATTACATCATTGCCCAAATGGTGAAATTAGCAGTGTAAGCACAAAGAAATTGCTTTCATTGCTGTGAAAATTAAACTTCTAAACAGCGGGGTCTTTTGTTACATATTTGTCCGTTGTACTCATGCATTGCAGCACAGAATTCTGTACCTCCAAGTGAAATTACCGAAAAACCAAGCAAAATGAGAGGCGCCACTCTTTGCTTTCACTTCCAAATTGAGGATGATGTGCACGTAGCTTAGATATTGAAATATTTGCGGTTTTAGTAATCCCAGGTCATCAACGACAGGAGAAAATTTTCCTTTTCACATTGGATTTTGCACAGGTGATGGTTTCTCCTGAGTTACTTCCACTTTTCGCAGGTACTGTGATATTCTTCACTTTGAGCCTCAAATTTAACTGCAAAGGCTGCTGCATGCCGAGCTGCATGATTTGCAATTGCAATTTCATGAACAGCAATAGAAACGCTGACGTTTGTGCTCGTAATTACCTGCAAAACTGTATCCTGGAAAGCAGACAGAAAAGTCTGTTACTACACGGGACCAAAGCCTGCTCCTTCCTTGAATTACTTCCCAAGGCGCTCAACTCTAGCACTTTACACACAGCCAGCGCAAAGCAGGAGGAGTTAATTTAAAGCCTAGATGTGTGGTACTGTTAAATATGAACTTCAAGACAAGCCATTGAGATTTCGGAACCGCCGGTCCTTACGTCTGTGGGAATTTCAGCCCAGTCGATGGTATCAGTTCTATTGATGGATAGAAGAGGAGACTGAGGGGTGCCCTCATTCCTGGGGATCCATTTGGAAAGGGCAGTGTCAGGAGGAAGGAGCCAGGCTCTGCTCTGGGATGTCCAATGCCAGGACAAGGGGCAATGGTCCCAAGCTGGAGCACAGGAGGTTCAAGCTGCAGATGAGGCCAAAGTTTGTGAGTGTGAGGGTTATGGAGCATGGCCCAGGCTGCCCAGAGAGGTTGTGGAGTGTCCTTGTGTGGAGACACCCAAAGCCCTGGCCGTGTTCCTGTGTGACTGCTCTGGTGATCCTGCTGTGGGGGGGTTGCACTGGGGGAGCTTTCCAGGTCCCTTCCAACTCCTCATATTCAGTGATTCTGTGACCTGAGATGCAGCTGCTTTGTGGAACTTTGAGCAATGCACTTGGGGACCCGTCGAGTTCAATTAACACAATTTTCCTTTAAGGAAAAGAGAGGGGTTTTTTCCTGGTGTCGCTTCTTTAAATAATCAGCTCCCGGCAAAGAAAACGAGCTGAACGCACCGGTGTCATTAACCAATTTTCTTCTGTTTAAACACACGAGGTCGAAGCATCCACCTTCAAAAAACACCATTTACGTCACGAAACCTCCAAACCTGCCAGCGCTCCAAGGAGGAAGGAAGCTCCGCGAAGAGAGGAAAACCTCACAAAGTCTATGGGAAACAACAGCCGAGCATCGCGCCTGTCGCAGATCTGGTAATAGCATGTCCTCAAGCAGTGCTTGATTCCTCCTCGTCCCTGAGGTTTGCGATGTGAGGGGTGGTAAATCCCAGCCCCACGGTGTTGGTGGCCGAGGAGCCAATTTTGGGCGATAACCAGGGCTCTGTTCCAATCCATGCAGGGATAAGCAAACTTCTACGTGTATAAACACACTTTTCGTGGTGAATACAGTGAATATGGTAAAAATAAAAAGCTTTTGTGGAGGCACACACTGGAAGATTGTTCCAAAGCCAAATTGAAGCCTCAGCAAGTCAGAACTTAAATTCCACTTCTGAGTCACTCAGTGGTATTTTTTTCTTATCTTAATCCATTTTTATAATTTTTTAAAGCATAAAAGGGAAATTCTGCTTGTCCCTTGTAACCTACAGGGACTACAACATATTTTTTTAATAGAACTTAAAGCTGTGTTTTAAAACCAGTAAGAGCAGAGATTCTCGGAGCACCATGGCTGTGTGCATGCTGAAAATTTTAGCATCTTTTTGTCTCCATTCTTTGCTGTGGACTGCACAGGGAGAAAGCTCTGCTTTCTCCTCCTTGCAAATAAATGGTCCCAGTAGCAGTCCCTGGGGAAAGCCCAGTTGAACTGGGAAGGGTGGGATGGGTTGGAGCCGGGAGCTGCCCATTGAGGGAACCCCCGGCTGCCTCTGCACAAACCACCCTTGGGAGATGAGAGTTTCATCCATAATTAAAGAACAGGAGAATATTGAGCTCATTTCGGGTTTGCACTTTCTCACACATTTTAAAGCGGAGGGGGGAGGTTACTTGGTGAAAATAAACCCGCCAAGTACAACGCCAGATGCCGGATCCGCGCCAAAAGGGGATGTTTTTTAGAGAGTGGGGACGGTCTCGAAAGCCGAGTTTGGTCACAGATTTTCTCCATGACCCATGGGAGCTGCTGCCGCTGTTCCCCATCCGTGAAAATGGGGAGAACAAAGCTTTCTTCCACCCTTTGTCTGCTCGGTCTATTTTAGCGCGTAGCTTTTAGCCGTAATTTCCCTGCTCTCCAAGCCCTGGGAGAGCTCCGCTGCTTCCCGTGCCCCA